AGAAATGGCTGGTAACGTGTTTTTATTTAGCATGTGTAGGGTAGTGGTTACGAATCGGGCTGCAAACCACAAGGTCAGCAGTTCGAAACTACCAGCTGCTCCGCAGGGGAAAGATGAGGCCTTCTGCTCCCGTAAAGATTTACAGCCTCAGAAACCCTGTACAGGGTTGCTATGGGTCGGAACCGACTTGATGGCACTCAACAACAACAACAAAGAAATAAGAAGTTACTGTGAAGTCATTTGTAGCTTATGGCAACTTCATGTGTGTCAAGAGTAGAATTATATGCCATAGGATTTTCAGTGGTGTTTTGTTTTTTTTTTTGGAGTAAATCACTAGGCCTTTATTCCACGATACCTCAGTGTGAGCTCAACCTGTAACCTTTTCAGTTTGCAATTGAGTATTTTAACGATTTTCACCATGCTTTATAATACTTTACACAAATTAAATGTGGCTTCTTCAGAAAATGTATTGAACAGTGAGTTATACCTTAGTAATCTTTATTAAGAAGTATAAAAGTATTAAAATGTATATAGCGATAGAGTTATTAATGCTTGGTTTATGTGCTATAAATTGTATAAATATATCTTAGATTATAAATGCTATATTATATAAAAATAGCATTGGAAGGAAGCTTTGGATGGTGCAAATGAGTAGCAAATTTAGCCACTTGCTGAAATTGGCAGGTGAACTCTACTCAGAGGCATCTTAGAAGAAATGCTTGGTGACCTACTTATGAAAAAAAATCAGCCACTATAAACCTTAGAGCACAGTTTTACTCTGACACAAATGGGGTTGCCATGATAAAAATTGACTTTTGGCAAGTGGCTTAAGCATTGGAAAAGAGTGCTGTGTTCAACATACTCGAAATTTCTAAGCAATTCAAAATATCCCTCTTAAGTGCTCAAATACTCCTGCCCTCAATAATTTCTGGATTGGTTTATTTAAAATACAGCACATGGAGCATAATTTAATATTTTCTTGATGAGTTAGGTTTATGACAATAATAATGTT